GGTGGAATCTGGGGGGGCCACTGTGGAAGCCAATGCAGAAGTCCCTCAAAAAACTAAACACCAAACTGCCGTGACTCAGCTGAGCCATTTCCAGGACTATACTGGAAGGACAGTTAAGTCTACGTACGAGGAAGATATTTGCACATCCACGTCTACCACTGTACTGTTCACCTAGATGTCCACAGCAGGTGAAAGAAGAAATACGGTACACACACAATGGGATTTTAGTTAGGCAGAAAGAAAAACTAAATGATGACTTTTGGAGGAAGATAGGTACTGAAGATCACATGCTATGAGACAGACCAGACCCAGAAACACAGTTAAATACCGCAAATACTCTCTTACACAGACTCTAGATTTAAATGTACATCTATGTATGTGTGTGTGCACATGTATGTGCATGTGTGTGTGTGTGTGTGATGAAAGGGGAAGGGGAGATCTGATGGGAGAGAGGGGAGAAGAGAGTAATGGAATACCTGTGGCAAGAAAGCAAAAGGGAGGAGGACATTTGACAGGACGAAGGGGACCATTAAGTCACAGGGAGAGGGCATAAGAGAGACTGGGACCCATACCATCAAACACAGTGTGACACACGTGTGTAAAAATGCCAAAATGAATGCCATCACACTGTACACTAAGTGAAGGATGCTTGTCTAAATAGAGGAGACTTGCTTTGCCGGCTCAAAGGTCATGTGGGGCTCTGGTTGCCCACTACTCTCCGGCTAGTCTCTATACTCACAGCCTCCCACTGGTTAGGAATACCTGGGAGGGCCTCAAGTTAGACCCGCAGGTTAGGAAGAAGACTGAACACCTCCACAACATCACTGAAGGCAGTCTAGAGTTGGAATGGACAAGAATCAGGGCTTAGATCTGCAAACCTGCACCCTTTCCAGCTACATTAACCGTTCTCTACTCAGAGTCTCTCCTCAACGCCGGATCACGTCTTCTCTTCCAGCCAATCAGGTCACAACATGACCAAAGTTTATTCCTTCTTCCTGAGGTGTTTTCAGCACCTACACAACTAAACACATGGTCACTAATATGCAACCATGTCCTGTCATGTCTCCTCTGTCTGTCATGGCTGCTGAATTCCTATAGAGTTTTTGTTTTGTTTTGTTTTGTTTTGTTTTGTTTTTTAAATCTTCTGTTTTGCTTCCCAACAAGGATCCATGTTCTTCCAGGGCAAAGCCATCCTGAGTTTTGTGAAGGATTTACAAATAACTTCCAAAGACCTAATCCAACTTGCAGCTGTGTTCGACTTACAGAATTTTTTTTTTTTTAAAAAGGAATTCATTCTTGGGGGCTGGTAGCTTAGCTCAGTGACAGACTGCTTAGCAGACGCGTGGCCCTGGGTACAAGCTCCAGCACCACGTGCCTCAAAGTGTCATTTTTAATTTCGTAGTTAATTTTTTCGTGCCAGCGATTCAGCCTTACAGGAGCTATGGGCATTTTACAATTAGAAATACATCCTTAGTCCGCCTGTCATCCTCTCAAACCTAACTTGACATCTTTCAAGCTGTGCTCTGTGTTCATCGCAGGCTCCAACACTCTCCGCCACCTACCCTTTTGCTGTTTCACGTGTTTGTAGTCTCTGTCTGGCCTAGCCATGGTCTCGCAAACAGCCCCACATCATGTCCTTTGGTTCACCAGTGGATGCCCAAGCCACTTGTAAATGTGGCTCACTCTGTTTCCATTCTGAAATCTCCAAAAGTCCTTTCTCCTGTGTTTTATGCCCTATTCCCTAAAAGGACCAGGCACTGGTGGAGGGATGTCATGCTCCTCCTTCCTCCACCAGGCATCAGGGCAGCGTGAATGGTACCCACCAAGGGTGAAGATGCTGAGGATGCAGCTATGGAGATAACGTTTCTGAAATGGCTCCACGACCGACAGGCAGGCAAGGAGCAAGAGTGTCTTCTCACTAGACCAGAGGCTCCTGGAGGCCTGGCACTGCCTTAGTGACCACTGTCTCTAGCACCTGGGGCAATACAGGCCCCAGCAGGCACTGAATGAGGACCCGTTGGCTCCCCTCCATAAACCTAACCTCCAAGGCTGGTAGGAAATGGGAGAAGCTGACAGACAGAACGAGGGAGACTTGCTGTTGGTTCGACTCTTCCCTAGCGTTGCTCGCCAATGACTCATCCCTACCAGGTGAAATCAGCCCCTTCCTGGGTGAAAACGCTCCTTGCTCCCCTAAGAACCTGAACAGGTTTTATTAAGAGAGCCAGTAGGTCTCCTGACAGTTGTCCAAGGAGCTGTTTAACGTCATTGTTGAATGCGTGGCATGGATGATTCATGGGGATCATTCCTGGACTCTCCCCACCCACCAGATATTCTAAGTTCAAAGGAGCAGCCCTCACTAGCCAACCAAGGAAGTCTCTGAGCAAGGTAATTCTAGAAACTAGTTATATATAACATACGATTCTTAGCGCACAATGGATTCTAAACATTCACGTTTGGTGAAATGGACTAAGTCGCGTGTGAAGTGTGACATGAACTGATTTTCCACTAAGGACGCAAGCAGAGCTCAAAGGAGCGGCGAATGGACGCTAGGAAGGAGGCGTCACTCCTGGGGGGGTTGTGAGAAGGGGTTTGTGTGTCAGGCCTCCATCAAATGTTTCCCATGCCAGGTTTAAGAAAGGGAAAATATTAGAAGGGCTCTCAGAATATCAGTCTTTCTTCTTTCCTTCCTTGGTGGGACTTGACTAGGCACCCAGTAGTCACTCTACAGTCCATGGTGAAGATCCCAGCAGCCCTAAGAAATTTATCCCAATGGCTGAAAATCAGAGCCTGAAGGTCAAAGGTCTGCCTCAAAATCCTGCTGCTATCATGTACTGGTTGCATGACCTTGGGCAAGGTTTCCCCTGCCTTAAGCCTGCTTGTCTTCAAAATGGGGATAATGAGCAATTCAAGTGTTTATCAACAGGCTAATATATGGTGTGTGGTATGCCCATATAACGGAACATCACTCATCAATAAAAGCGAAGATACTAACAGTACATGCGACAATCTGGACCAGTGTTGGAATCATGATGAGGCGAAAAGCCAGGCATGTCTAGGCTTCTATTTATGTAAACTGAGATAAAATATATGTACTCATGCCTCCATTTATTCTGGGAAATAAAATTATCTTATCATGAAAAAAAAAGCACTAACTGTTGAGGCCAGAGGTCGAGGAGGGATGCGCTGAGGGGGTAATAGAGATTCTGTCTGTTCATTGTGACAGCGGCTTCACAGGACAGGAACGTCAGCCAAAGAACTGCCTACTTGGAATGGCTAAGGCTTTCTGTACTCAAACAGACTCAATAAAGTCGATTTAAAAACCTTTGCCACGGAGAGGTGGTGTGTCAGGAAAGTGCCTCTGGCACAAGCATCAGGACCTCAGTTAGGATCCTAGGAACCCAGATAAAAAGCTAGGCCTGGTGGTGTGTGTCCATCACTCCAGCAATGCAGGGCAAGGGCGATGGGCCGATCCCTGCAGCTCACCGACCAGCCCAGTCAATCTGATGAACTCTGGGGTCAGTGAGAGACCCTACTTAAAAAGTAAAGGTGAAAAATGATCTAGAATGACATGCCTATCAGCTTCTCACCTTCACATGAATGCATACACATATACACGCACACACATGCACACATACAAACCACACCGAGCTTGCCATAGACTGTCATTGTTCTTGAGAGCCACAGGACGCAATATGTAAAACGTAAGCCAAATTGGTATCATATCCCTAGCTTGGCAGCTGGTAAATGGTGGTAAATTGGTGGACAGCTGAGGTGTAAGAGCTGAGTCTCCTGGGAGTTGGAAGGGCAGCCTTGAGTCCTGCTACCCTATATAAACCCTCTAAGCCACCATTTCTTATGTATGAAAGGGCAGGTTTGCTGACCATGAGCCAATCATAAAATGACTCCTGTATCAAAAAGGGTCTACACCCAATCACTTCAAAGTACACCGAACCTCAGCTAGAATTTCCCTAAGCAGGCTTAAAAGGGGCTGCCTTATCCTCCCCCAGGGTCGAAGCCATTTTGAGTGGACCCAAGCATGCTGATTTTTCTCTGTCTGTCTGCAATGGCATATTGGTGTCTTCTGGTCATTTGGAGCAATCTAAGGACTCTAGAGTAGCATTTTCCACATGGAAAAACGTGAAGGAAGCAGGGTCTTTAGACGCGTTGGAAGGCCGCTCCAGGCAGAAAGAGCTCTAGAAATCATGTTTCCTGAATTTAATGTTTCTAACACAAAGCCCAAGTTTCTTGGTGTTACAAATAAATACACAAGCAGCCGGAGACCAAGTTACTAAAAAACTGACCTGCGGGCACTACTAGCCAATACTCACTCCTACTTGCCGTTCCAGATTGGCCAGATCCGTACCCTGCAGATAACCTCCATTGCCATCTCTTAGCTCAAGTTGAGGCCCCCAAGCTTCCCAGGCCTCAGAGGTCTTCAGCCACAGGGTGTGAGGCGAGCCGGCCCCAGACAGGGAATCAAGACCCTGATGAGCAACCTTAGCAGAGATGTGTTAGGTTGCCTATGAGATGCCAAGATGACAGTCCTGCTGATGGAGTCCTAAGACGGTGGCCTAGATCCAACACAGGCTAGATTCTTACTGGGTAAACAGAACCCTAAACTCAGCAACCCTCAGGAATCTTACAATTCGGGTTTCTGTTTGTCAGGAAGGTTACTGCTTCCCTTCAACTGACAGGGGCGAGACACACTTGGTTCTGGATAACCAGTTAATGGACACCGACTCTGTAGACTAACATCTCAAACCCACGTCCTCCCACCGAGTCACAGGTCTCTGATTTTGTGAGACAGCCCAGCAGTTTGTCCCTGATAAGCGATTTTCTATAAACAGAGTGATCTTTGGTGATCGCTGTGCTCGTTCACAAGATGCCTTAGATTAATCCATGGCCATGGGCCACCCTCATCTGAGGAGAGCTAGAAATACAGTCTGACATAGAACTATAAACTTACTTAAAACATGTACTTTTTAAATGCAATTTTATTTTTTCTCTCTCCTCTCCCTTCCCCTCCCCCCTCTCTTTGTAACTTGATTATGCGGTTCTCAAGCATGAATTTTGTAGTTGACAATATTTTGTCTTAATGGCAAAAAGTTGGACACGTCTTAGTGCTAGCTCCAGATAACTCTCAAAATAAACAACTTGACCATCAAAGACCTGCCAAAAAATGGATCAGCCTTTGAAGGGGGACAGAGAGGTTCAGGAATAATATGTCATATCCAGTGTGCCCCATATCCAATCAAACTATTCATCAGTGAGGGAGCAGTGTGTGTGTGAGTGCACGCGCTCATCTGCATACATGTGTGTGGAGAAAGAAAGATAGAGAGAAGTGGAAATACCTCTTCCAGAAGGAAAAGGAGTCAACAGAAACAGACTCAGAAGAGACAGCAATGATCGGATTAGCCGTCCAAGTACTTAAAATGGTCACTACAGATTACTATAGCAATAGAGGACACGTGTATGAATGTACACACACACACACACACACACACACACACACACACACAACTCCATCCACACACATAAAAAGAAAGACATGGGCAAGACAAGAGGTAAGCGGAAGATCTGTTTTAAGGAAGAATTGGGGCTGGGAAAAAGCTTCTGAATCTCCACCAGCCATGCAGAAAGTGGGTCTGGCTGCTCAAACCTGCAACCCCAGGAAAGCCGAGTGCAGCGGAGTCCTGAAGGAGCAGAGAGGAAGTGGATAAAGCAGGGGACCCGGCAAAAGCACTCGGCAAGGCAGAGATGTGAGCAGCAGTCTTGGATTCAAGCCTGCAGCCAAGGACTCCCCAGGGGCCCCCAGGTCTCCTGACTGTGCCCTGACATCCCCGAGAAGCTCACCTTCTTCATCTGATCCAGTCAGGCTGTGTTGTCTGAGGCGGCGGCTGTTAGTGGAAAACAGAACAGGAGAGTTTTAAACACAGATGGCAACAACCTAGAGTTAACAGCTGTCCTGACTAGTTTAGGTCAGGTTGACACACTGAAAAAAAAAGCAAACCTCAGCTGAGAAAATGCCTTCATAAGATCCAGCTGTAAGGCATTTTCTTCCTTAGTAATTAAGGGGGGGAGGCCCCAGTCCATTGTGGGTGGGGCCATCCCAGGGTTAGTGATACTGGGTTCTGTAAGAAAGCAGGCTGAGCAAGCCATGAGGAGCAAGACAGTGAGCAGCACCCCTCCATGGTCTCTGCATCAGCTCCTGGTTCCTGTCCTGTTTGAGTTCCTGTCCTGACTTCCCTCAGTGATGAACGGTGATGTGGAAGTGTAAGCTAAATAAACCCTTTCCTCTCCAACTTGTGTTTGGTCATGGTGTTTCATTACAGCAACAGTAACCCTAACTAAGACAATAGGTAATAAATTAAAATCCTCCTTCTCTCATAATCTTGGTCAAACATTTTCAGGCAAATGAGTCTGCTGCGCATGGCTGCACAGGCTGTGTGACCCCCATTCCCATGGGCAGCACCCACAGACGCACACGAATGCTCTCCTCAAGCCTGCAGGGGCGAGAGCACCTGCCATTTTACCTTTGCCTAGAACCTTTTCCTTTCATTTTAATTAATTTCATTTTCATTTTTTAAAAGTCTTAGAAGAAGGCCAGGGTCACCAGATTGTCTTACTTGTCGCCCATCTGTGCTGTTCTAGCGGAAAGTTTGGGCTGGCACCCTGTTACCTGGACACGCGATCCTGAAAAGCCGGTGGTGAGCCTGCCGTGGCAGGAGGGCCAGGTTCTGACCTTCAGGTGAGGAGGGACCATGAAGTAAGCTCTTACCTCACCATGCAGATCCCAGCCCCAGGCCACAGCCAGATTCCAGACCACCTGAATTTCTTTTTGAAGCCTTCATTATCACTTTTATGCGGATAACTGCTTGGTCTGCATGTTTGTCTGCATACTGAGTGTGGGCCTGAGGTAAGATGAGGGGGCTGAGCCCCTAGAACAACTGGAGCTAAGGACAGCTGTGAGCTGCCATGTGGGTGCTGCAAACCCACCCCTGGTGCCCTGCACAGGCTCTTAGCTGCTGAGCCATCTCTCCAGCCCTCCAGCTGTTGTTTTCAATGCTGAATTCAACACAGGCTGGAGAGACAACAGCAGCCAAGGCCACACTGCTGGGACAACCCCCTACAGGACACACAAGAACATGGGAACTCACTCTTCCATCTCCTCAGAAAATTTCTTTCCCAATCTGAAAAAAAAAAGAGAGAAAGAGACAAAGTTTAAGACGACCCATGAGTTTCACACACTAGAGCATTCCTGGGGAGAGGTTCAGGTAGGACCAAGTCAGCATATCTCTGTTTGCCTGGAATCTCTGGCTTGACCCCACTCAGTCCCTCTCCAAACCCTGCCGTCTCAGAAAGATCACCAGAAGTTGACCTCTGCATTCCTGGCAGTCGCGGGGGTGCCTCCTCTAAGGCTGCCAGCTCCCTAGGCTGTGTGTGGCGCATGTGTGTGTGTGTGTGTGTGTGTGTGTGAGAGAGAGAGAGAGAGAGAGAGAGAGAGAGAGAGAGAGAGAGAGAGACGTGCGTCATGTACACCCCCAGGTATAGAGTAGAGGCAGAGATTGGATCAGATGTGTTCCTGGATCACCTTTCTCTCTCTTTGGAGACAAAATTGGCCTGGAAGTCTCTATGTAGACCAGGCTGTCCTGGGACTCACAGAAGTCCACTTGCCTTGCCTCCTGAATGTTGGGATTAAAGGCCCACACCGCCATATCTTATGAGACAGGGTTTCTCTCACTGAAGCTTGAACTCACTGGTTGGTGAGAGAAGCCCAAAGAACAGGGCGACCTGTGTTAGGCTCTGCATCCTGAACGTCCCCGAGGGTGCTCGTGCTAAAGGCCTGGCTGCCCTCGTGGCGCTATTGTGATTTCTAATGGGTCATGACAAAAGCAGGGGGAATTCTGCAGTGAGGAGAAGATGATGGCCGTGATACTCTCTGGGGGAGGCTGATTAATGGCCATTTATCCATTCAGTGTCCAAAAAGTGGCTGAGTTTAAGATCCAACTCAACAGCCCTGGAGCCCACATTCTGCTTTCTCTCCCTCTAGGGGGAGCCAGAGGATATTCTCCACCACCATCTCCTTTCTCTCTTGAGAAAGGAGACAGAACAGAAGATGCCCTTGGAAGGGGTGTCCTCAGGTCGCTCTGCCCCTGCCCCCCGAACGTAAGTAACAGGCTCTGGAACACCACTGCCTGAGAGACAAGAGCTTTGCCAGCTACAGCCCTGCCTTTGTTCTGGCTCACACAGATGGAAAACTGGCCATTTCTGGGCTTTATCTAAGGTGGCAGTTTCAACCTGTGGGGATCAAATGACCCTTTTACAGGGGTCGCCTAAGACCATCTGAAAACACAGATATTTACATTATGACTCCTAACAGTAGCAAAATTACAGTCATGAGGTGGCAATGAAAATAAATTTTATGGTTGGGGTCCCCACAACATGAGGATCTGTACTAAAGGGTTGCAGCACCGGGAAGGCTGAGGACCACCAGTCTAGAGTAGGTGAATTTGGTTTGGACCACACTACTGTTTACTTTAACGAATGCTCACTTTCTGGATTACTGCAATGAAAAGCCTGGTAACAACACAGCCCTTGGGACAGAAGCCTGACCAGCCATGCTGAGCTCCCTCCTACAAGGCTAAGAGTAGTTCTCAGTCAGAGTCTATGGTTTTGTTGGAGGAGCCAGGGGACAGCAGGATGTCCTACAGACATGTGGATATCCGTGGGGGAGCCCAAGGCAGCCTAGGTGGGAAGTACCTTCTAGACCCGGTGTGTGTTTCTCTATAGAGAGACAAATGTGCACATATGTGTGCCCTGGGGAGCCGATATATAGTACAGTTCTGCTTCACAGATCTGCCACACCCATTTCATACCCCAAAGGTATCTTAGGTGACACCACACCACATACACACAATGGTTTTCAGTGCTTTCCAAAGACATCAGTGTCTACATAACAGCAGCTACTGCAGGTGGCTGCAGTAGCCACTGACTCCGGGGACAGTAGGCGCTGTGACCACGGGCCTCGCCCTTGTCACAGAGCTAGCTAGCGATGAGTCTAACGTGAGACTTTGCTTCCCTGACTTTCACTCTAGATCACAGACACATGCCAGCCGCCATGCCAGCATCTCCAGGGCACCCATGCAGCTGTCTGGATTCCTGAACACACAGTCCTTCCAACTCCCCTACCTGCACAAAGAACAGAAAGCTCAGATAATCCTCCAAACAGGCTGCTCTTAACTACAGGCCGCAACAGAATCACATGCAAAACTTTTTCAATGGAGACCTGCTAGTTCCCTGACCCACCCCCGGCACCTCCTACCCAAGTATTAATTATGAGAGTCACATCCCTAACTGTGTTCCAGATATGAGGCTGGACACCATACCTGCTGAGCAGCAAAACAGATACCTGTGCCCCTTCCTCCTCTCTTTTTCAGTTGCCTTCCTACTTACTGTCTTCCACCCCAGGGGAGTGTTGATGGATATGGACTTGAAGAGGGCCAGGAGCCCAAACGGCCCATAAAGGAAAGCTTCTTATCCCTGGGACTCACACGAGCCTGTGGTGTTTGTACAACCCAAGCAGGAGTTCACCACCAAGACAGGCCGGACAATCCAGGCCCACTGGAGACACTCACTCGCTCAATACGCAAACTGTAAAAAGCATGGCGCTTGCTGAGCCAGCACTCTGGAAAGCTAATTAAACACCAGGCTTCTCTTGAGGGGCTCCTCCATCGCTTACCGCCTGCTTTGGCCATTCTTCAGAAGACAGCTTTACCTATGGACCAGAGGAAAGAACCCCTCCCCTCTGACACAGCAGATATGGTAACGGGGCACGCCAGTGATGAAGAAGCGTGTCTGGCCAGCCGGCAACCTGAAAGGGAGGAACCCCAGTCATCTCGCGGTGGCCCTTTGTAAGCCACCAAAACAGCTGGCCACGAGCTGCTGCGCTCCAAGTACTGGCTTCTCGGGTGAAGTGTTCAAAGGCTGCCTTGCTACCCCCACCTTCCTGCACAGCCCAGAGCTTGGCTGGGCACACGATCAGTCCCCGCCTGGTCTTCATTCCTGTTTCTCTCAGACATGGTCAGTTTGATGCAGCCACACATTTCTCCGAAGAGCTGAGAGTTAGCCCGCCAGACCCCGGGCACGAACACGGTACAACGTATGAACTGCTATGACGTATAGCACACATGATGTACTAGAACAATCCCATCATCACTGCTACTCACGCCAATGCGCAGCTGAAGAAGCCGAGGCTCAGGGAGGTAAAGTCACTTGCTTTCTGCTGCCCACCTAGAGAACAGCAGGCGTGAACGCAAGCCAGGACGGCTAACACCAAAGCTTAGCCTTTAACCCCTGCCTCACAGGGACACACATGCAAGCAGCTCTATACGGCAGATATGTCCCTTCCATACACTCCACTAGGACCCAACTGATACTTTCTATGGTGCCAACATGCTTCAAACTTACAGGAGGGCTCCAGCTTTGCCAAGTCTCCCAACCTGGTGGTTTAATTGTTCTGAGTGGTTTATTTGGTAATATAGCATTTGGTAATATAGCAGGGAAGGGTTTAGCTAGGTCACCCTCCCTTCTCCAGTCCCACCTCTTTACTTATTTGGCTGGCTGAGGACAAGCATGACCTCACTGTCACATTGCATGACTGTAGCCATGGACAACCCAAGGACTCGGGGTTCTCTTGCTTTTACTCTGGGGCTCCATGGAAAAGTATGTGCTATGGGGTAAAAAAAAAAAAATCAGCCCAGGGTGATTCCTCAGATGAGGGTCTGTTGACCTTGTGGGCAGTACCTGACTCACCTCTCCGATGGTCTTGTAGCCATCTATCCTCACTGGCCCCTGCTATATCAAGGGCTTGGGTTGGTCATCAAAATAAGGACCGCATCTGAAGGACCTGTAAGTGGTTATGATCCCAACTTGTAGACATTCCCAACAGCTGAGGGTGAGGCCCCCAAAGCAACCTGGGTCCCCTCTGCCATCAAAGTCTTTGCTGCTTCCACGCAAAGACTCAAGGTGGCCCCGACGCAGACCTCATGGAAAGAGTCTCTCACGCCTAATGGAACACTGCAGAGGTCTAAATGGAGATAAAGTACCACGGCTCAGAGGACAGACGGGAGGCTGTCTTTATGCAGCATGACAATGTTTGGTGGTTAATTAGACACCGTTAACCTAGTTTAGCAGTGGCCATAACTGGGATAAATAGGGGGAAGTGTCCTTGAAGCCTCTTAATAGCGATGGCACACACTAGACCCCAGACCTGCCTCCCTGCTGAGGCAGAACCAGTGCCAAATGGACCCTGGAGTCAGTGGACATTCCCGATGGCCATTGTCTCTGATCCTAGAAGCGCAGTTAAGAGTCTGGGCACACAAGGGCAACCGCGACTCCTGTAGCTGAGAGGACGCCAAAGGCACACGACTCCATTGCAAAAAGAGGAAACTCTGCAGCAGGGGCCGTGCTCACAGAAGAGAGTTAGTAGACAGACGTCAGGAAATACACAGCAGCCAAAGCTCCTTGCACTTTGCAAACATATACACCCGTGGAAGGAAGCAATCAAAACAGTTTCCTATGAAGTGTTCTAGACTTGCGGTTAAAATGCCTAATAGAACCCTCAGAACTGCTGGGCAGTGGTGGCATTCACCTTTAATCCCAGCATGGAAGAAGCAGAGACAGGTGGATCTCTGAGTTTGAGGCCCTGGTCTACATAGTGAGTTCTAGGCCAGCCAAGACTACACAGTGAAACCCTGTCTAAAAATAAATAAATAAATAAGAAAGAAAGAAAGAAAGAAAGAAAGAGAAAGCAAAAACAACAAAGAAACAAAACCAAACCATCAAAATCTCACCTCCCCACTCACCACCGCCTCTGAAAGCTCACTGAGGAAAGTTTCACCCAGGCCTGAGTGAGAGATAAAAAGCCATGTCTCCCTGACCCCCAAACCAAGGCCTCACTTTACAACACATATGGCCATCAGATGGGACATCACGGTGGAAACTGAGGGGAAGGTGGGGTTGGCTGCTGTGAACACAGCCACGCTGTCCACTTAGGATCGGGTAATGAACCAAACACTTAAAACATGGCTGCACTGTCCGCATGGGATGGGGTAATGAACCAAACACTTAGGTCTTTGATACAATCTGTCCCCACACTCTTGAGTTCCTTCTGAAAGTGGAAGTACCTACT